GGCAGGCGGTGGATAATGGACATATTCTGGCCCCCGGGGGCCGAAATGTATCCAGGGCACCAGGGCGTCGGTTCCCGGGCGATTTCGTGAGCCGTTCTCGTCTCGATGTCGTTCTGCAGCAAAAGGTGGACTGAAGACAAAACGAGGGACATCGACACATCACAACGAAGACGAACATCATTGTTCAGATCGATCCACGTGGTAGACCGAGGGCGCCCCTGGGGGCACAGGTCATAGACGTGCACGGCGCTCTGTTCCCAACGGCCAGAGGAACAGCGCTGGCGGGGGCGCGAAGATTACTGCGCGCCTTGCGCCCCGCGGCCAGCGAAGCGCGAAGACGAGCGGCCCGGTGGGCGGATGGATGGACGCAGCCGGGAGGCCTTGCGGCTGGCTCCGCCGACCCTGCAGTCATATTAGCGCAGACGCAGAAGTGGGGAAGGCAGGAGAGGAGGAGGACTCATACGGTGAGCAGGCGCAGGAGGTGAGGGAGTGGAGCGCGGGAGGAGGATGAGGAGGAGGAGGGGGGGGGAGGAGGAGGAGGAGGAGGAGGAGGAGGAGGAGGGGAGGAGGAGGAGGAGGAGGAGGAGGAGGAGGAGTTGGGAGGTGAATTGGGTTTAGGATGAGGAAGAGGACCAGGAGGATGAGGAGAAGGATGATAGAGAAGGGTCGGAGGAGGAGGAGGAGGAGGAGGAGGAGGAGGAGGAGGAGGAGTAGGGAGAGGTGGAGCAGGCTGAGGAACCGGAGGCGGAGGAGGACGACGAGGAAGAGGAGGAAGAGGTGAAGCAGGCTGAGGAGGAGGATGAGGAGGAGGAAGAGGTAGAGCAGGCAGTGGAGGAGGAGGAGGAGGCGGAGCAGACGAAGGAGAGTGAACAGGAGTGGTAGTGGAGCAGGAGTCGCTTGGAAGCCTGTCGGTGTGGCTTTGGGAGTCTCTTTGAGCCTCTCTGAACACTCTTGGCGACTCTTTGGGGCGTCTGGGGACATTCTGGCGGCGTTCTGGTCGTATCATGAATGCCTCTTGGGGGCGTTGGGGATTGCTTGTAGTCAGCGGGGCCATCTTTGGAGCCTCTCTTGGGGCTTTCTTTTGGGTCCCCTGGGGACCCGTTCTGCAGCTCCAAGACCCGTTTGGAGCGAGCTGGGAGGCTTTTTTTTCGGCAGCCTTGCACTGTTTCTCGACCGAAGAAGGGACAACACGACGGCCTCGAGTATTCTGGAGCCGGGGCCGGGGCCCGGGCCGGGGCCGGGGACAGGGCTGGGATCGGCCGGTACCGCGGGAGTCGGGGCCGGAGGGCCGGGGCCGGGAGCCGCGGCCAGGGCCGGGGCCGGCGCTGGTGCCGCGGGGTTATGGGCGAGCGGCCAGGCTCCCGGGGTCGGGGCTGGAGCCCGGAGCCACGCGCAGAGGGGGGTGGGGGGAGGGGGGGGGCTTCTTAGAAGCACCCCCGCTTCTTAGAAGGCGCGGGCCTTATCTATAGATGTAAGGCCAGCGCCTTTAAGAAGCAGCCTGCTTCTAAGAAGCCCTCCCCCCTCCCCCCCACCCCCTTGTGCGCGCCGCCAAGGCTGGTGCTGGGGCTGGGGCCAGGGCTGGTGCCGGGATCGGGAGCGGGAGCGGGGGCCAGGGCCGGGACCGGGACCGGGGCCAGGACCGGGAGCGGGGTCGGGGGCCATGCAGGGGCCGGGGCCAGGAGCCAGGAAATTGGACCGGGACCAGCCGCCGGGCCGGGACCGGGACTGGGGCGAAAACGCTGATCGCCCCCCCCCATGCACCCCCCTGCAGCCGCAGGGGCCGGCGAAAACGCTGAACGGCCCTGCCCAAGCAGAGCGGAGGTCAAGCGAAGCTCGAGCTCGCGCTCTTTGAAACTCACACCGGATCGGCCGATTCTGCGTCGCCTAGCGTGCGCGCTTTATTTGTTTAGGATGGGTTGCCGATCGGTGGTCGCCTGTCCTAAGCGCGCCGCTGGTGAATCCCATCCGTGCTGCTGTAAATGGGTACGCTTGCCGAAAAGTTGTTTGCCTGCCCCAGTCCCTAGTAAACTTCGCAATGTGGTGCAGGAGGGGCGGCTGTTGGCCTACCTGCGGCTGCTCTCGGCGAGGTATGACTTTCGCTCGCCTCTCGCGGTGATGAGTGGGTGAATTAAAACTTTCATTCACTTGTCTGGTGTGATGCTTGCGTAAAAGTGACGCGATGCGCTTTGTTCTCCTCCCCTCCCGATCTGAATGCGGGCTGCTTAGCTGTATGGGCGATCGGGGGCAAAGCAGGAACGAGCGCATGGCGGCCGTTTATTCTCAGGTGTCGAGATCAGGATATGACCAGTCCACGCGATTGCTATTTGAGTAGAGGAAAGATCCTCATCTACCCCTACATCGTCTCCCATGACGAGCCTCAGCCTGGAGGCACCTTTTCGACTGTCTAGCCCCCTCTCCTGAAGGCGGTTTGATGTCGTGTGGTGATTGTTTGGGAACCTCCAGGGGGCTCGTTTGGGCTTTGGGGGGCCTCCTGGGGCCTCCTGGGCCGTCTCATGCGCCTCTTGGCCATCTTGGGCTGTCTTGGGGACCGTTTTGGGTCCATCTTAGCCTGTTTTCGGCCTTTCTTGGGGTCCTTGGGCTGTCTTGGGTGCCTCTCGGGCCCTCCCAGGTCCGTCTGGAGCCGTTTTTGGGCTCTCTACCCCCCCGTCGTGCTTCGACTTTGGAGGCATCCGAGGCAAATCGAATGTGCTGAAAGCGGTAGTTTGCCAGGGTCCAGCTTTCGAAAGACGTTGGAGGTGTCCAGAGC